TAGAGCAGTCATGAGTGTCAACTGCAACGTAAGTATATGTTGTCATACTGTTGTTCTGCGCCCAATAAACTCGCGATTACTTGTCATTTTTATGACATTACCAAAGGTGTTGAGTTTTGGGCAGACGCTGAAACCCGGCCAGATTAGAAACTGGATATCGTACTGTCGTTATTGATACTTCAATTTCAGGCGTTAGATGTTGAACCTGAGCACAATATGGAAGCACCTGAACATCTGCTCAATGACATGGAGCTTGATCCAGCGGTTCGTTTAGTTCAAGCATCCTTTTTCATTTTAACCTAGCTATGGTAATCTCCATTCTTAGGTTCCTGATTCATAATACTTAAATTGCAGCGTGCTCTGAATGCTGCTCCAGCGCCAGCTCCAGCTGCCGCTGCACCGTGTGAGGCAACCACAGCGATACAGAAACCGACTGTGACTCCAGATAAGCCTTCAACATCATCCGCAAATGAAGACAATTCGTTTGTTGCTCCAGTTCTGGAAGGAAGAGACAACACTCAGCTTCGTCGTCAAATGGCAAGTGTTGGAAAACAACCAAAGGCTAGTCAACAGCGAAAAAAGAGGGACCAGGTAATTTGCCTAAATGTAAACCTTTCTTTTGCTGAGTTCACTTCGCATTTTCGCACATGTATATGTTTTACAGGTGGAAAGCCTCTACGACTCACTGACCGACTATTTCGATCCCACTGATGGACGTCGCCAACGAAAACGGACAAAAACATTGGAGGAGGAGCAAGCGGATCAGGTAGCCGTTACTTTTTAATGCAAGGCTTGTTTCCCAAGAACTAATCCCGTTCTTATTATGTTTTAAATATGCTTGTTTTAGCGTGACTTGGAATTAATAGCTGCAATGGAGGCGCAGTCGGTATCAAATTCAGCAGATGTATCGGCTGCAGAGCATAGCGATGATCATAAGCTTGGAGACACAAGTGATGACGATCGCAAGTTCTATGAGAAGAAAGACCGGCGCAGAAAGAAGAAAGACGATGTTCCCGAAAGGCCTCCTACTCCAACTGATGGTAACTCTCCACGCAAAAACCTCCAAAGCTCCCTAATTGTGAAATTTTTTCTAGTCATACAAAAACGTGATCAAGAATGGACAGAGCGACAACGAAAACGGCAAGAAAAATTCAGGCGACGGAAGGGTAACGAAAGTGATCAGGAATGTTGGAATAATGATGTGAGTTTATCACATTGTGGTTAGAGATTCTTTTGTTTTGATTTTTTTAGAGTGGTGACTCGTGTTCAGTTACAATGATTTTACTTGTTGTCACTTGTTGTTGCTCATCATTATTTAATAATCAATATATTCACATTTATAGTTATTCAGCAACAACTTTTGAAGCAGAGCTC